ATTTACATTAATCGAAATTCTACTTTTTACTAAAAGTGTCCTTGACCAGTTAATTTATCACATTAACTCTTCCTAATCTTATGTTTCCACTCTTCATTTACCTTCTTTGACAGCCCTAGAATATTATCACGCCAACTTTCATTTAGTGACTTTACTTCATGTTTATTTGTGTCATAAAAGTAGTATGTCATTTTCTTATTTCATACATCATATTTCATTTGTTAAATTGAATTTAAGGCGACTGACGAATGTTGGATTATCATTTTTTTGTAAATTTTATTATTCACTTCGAAATAAACTAAATATGTCTATAGTGTTAAAGTTTTATAATCAAAAATAAAGTGGATTTACTTGATTATTTTTATATATATTGTCTTAACTATAACTCTACATTGAGTAKAAGTTTATAATAGACCTTAATTTCAAATTATTTTGTAAGCAGAAATTCATAAAACAATATCTTTTCACTTTTCTCCACATATTATACCTACTTGAAATGTTCATTAGGCTCTGGCCTTTACCTGATATTGACTGAAAAGTAACCAGTGGGGCTTTGCTTTCACGGCCTCAATATAATGKTATCACTTAAAAATATACAAAAATAACAAATTTATGTACTCGAGTAAATAGTAAGTAATTTTTATTTTATTTTTTTCAGTAGGTAAATATTTTTAATATTTTATCAATTTTAATCACAATATTTTTTTCTGTATAAGTACCTAATCAATACTTGTTTGGACAAGACCTACTTATATACTTAAATATTTGTTTAATGTTTATTCTCCCCATAGCTGAAGAAGTTTTCTGATTTGATGGATGTAATCGATAATGTAATAACTATACTACCTACTTGTACCAAAATTATAAATTTGAAAATACTTTTTTGTACCAAATTTTAATAAAATTGAAGTCTAGTTATGAATCATTTTTTTWATTTTATTGAAAGAAAAAGAAGGCTTCAATATCTGAGGTTTTTAGCCTTGTGTACATGTTACATTGTATGAGTTACATTAATAATTAAATTTCAAAGTTTACAACAGTCTTAAATTATGAATACATGTTAGTTAAAGATTGTTTACAATATTAATATGCGTAAAGAAATTTAAGATTTWTATGGTGTTGTCTTTCTAAAGAGCTCCTTCTTAGTTGTTGGATATTGATAAGGTGTTTCAGATGTTTTGAAGGTCTGGGCAGTCTAGTATGATGTATTGATTGGTTAGGTCTTCTTGGAATTTATTGCATATAGGTTAGGTTAGGTTAGGTGGATCTTTTCTGATTAGGAATGAATGGGTTAGAAAAGAATGTCCAATTCTCACTTTGGCTAAAGTGACATCTTGTCCTCTGTATAAATTATRGAGATGATGCCACTTTTGAGTGCATTTTTTAATCTGTTGGAATGCGGAACAGAGTCATATCGTATTTATATTGTTTCTAATGGATATACTTATGTCGTTAGCCGGTATGTTAATGATTGTTGGATGCTAGATGATTTTAGCT